TTTCCAAGTACTTTGGTTCTCATGAGGCAGTAAAAATATACCAGGTAAGTATTTTTAGTCAGAAATTTATGTATTAAACTGAGGAAAGATGTGAGTTTATTGAAAAACTGTAAACAGTTTAAAACTTACTCACATCTTATTTTACTGCTTGTTTATCATAAAGACTAGTAAACATGTACTTGTTTATGTTACTAGATGGTGTGTTTTATAATGTATCCATTTAAAATGGATGAGTTATATCTTTATATATATAAATATATATTGTATGTTAATTGTAATGACAAAGATACTGTGGTGCCGCCTTCTTTGTAATATTTGAAAGATAAAACATTGTTCGTTCTTTTTACACTACAATGAGTCAGAAAATAACATTTATATTGGTATTAAATCAGCATTTCTATTTATTTCTCTATTTTTACTTGGAATCAAATGTGATTTTTTATAGTAGGATTTATTTCTGATTTTTGTTATAGAAACATTCTTCATATGGTCATAAATTATGCTTATAAATATTTCAACATTTTCAAAGACTATGTTTTATCGTTATTTGAGAGGAGACCTATTATTTAATAAAATACATTGCAGATAATATTGTTACGACAGCGGAAGTCGCGTGACGTTGGTAACACGTGGTGAGTTTCTAGAAGGATTGTGAAGGCGCGAGTGTTTACCAGACGCCCTCTATTTTTGTATATATAAGCCCGGCAAATAAAGCGGGGGGGTAGAAGTGACGGCATAGATAATGGCAGATAAGTTGCTTCATACTAAATATCTTGCCGAACCAACATTAAAAGGGAAATCAGTTTGACTAGAATATACCACATAATTTTACTTTTATTATCAGTGTATTTAGTTCGAATAATGTACAAAGTTTATCCCTGTTTTAGTTTGGAGACCACTATCATTTCCTAAGGCAGGTAACTTGGACAGATCTGTGCTTGAAGCTCAACATTATTACAGGTAGAAGAAGTTTGTAACCTTATTCTAAAGGAATCATTATCACTTATTATACTTCAAAAATATTGTTACGTCTCTGGTCGTTTGTTAATTTTCCGTAAAATTTCTTTCCGAAGAACTTCAGCGAAACAAGTCCTTTCTTAAATAAAACTAGTTTATTCTTTCTCAATACAACTTTGCAATACACTTAATTTCCACAGTTATTTTACTTAACACACGCTATAATTCACAACGATTCACGCACTTTACTTACGACTTGACTCGATTATCTGTTTCTATATCTCCCAGTCTTTCTGTGAATACCTAAGTTTATAAGAATAAAACGAAGACTGGGTACATACATATACAGTGTGTATACTTACTTTGAACAGTGGTCTGTTGTTTACATTGGATAGAAACTATTCTCTCCGTCTGGTCAGTCAGAAATCAAGTACATAGAGGAGGACCTTCTGTTCAAAGACACAGCTGTCTACATTTTTGCACAAGATGCAACATTACAACCATTCTCCCTTAAGCGTAACAGGCGTGATCTTTATAGAATAACATAACTATGGTAGCTAGAACAAAATTACATGAATAATACAATCAGAATAATACTATATTAATAATCCAATAAGATGCAAAACACATGGAATGTTAGACCACAATTATAAGTGAACAAAGTATTATTAATCGACAACTTGTCTGGAATCTGGCACTGCTTCAAAGGCGTGTATTTTAATAATATAGGTGATGTCACTAGAGGTTGACAATTGCCTGTTAGATATCTTGGAGAGCCCTAAGTTAATTGAAATTGATGAAGAAGTTCTTGACATTTCAGCTAATGTAGTAGAGTAAGCTATTGTTACGACAGCGGAAGTCGCGCATTGCTGGGAGCATGCGCGCTGGAGTTTCTCTAAGGATCATGAATTTTCCTGGCAACTCTTAGTTTGTTCCAGGCGCCCTCTTTTTTAGTACATAAGCCTGGCAAATAAAGCCAGCGAGAAAGATAGAATTGCAGAGATAGGCAGATGGATTGAAGATAGAGATAATTGAGTCAAACGAACAGTAGGCACCGTAAGTAAAGTGTGTGTGAATCACTGTGATTTATAGCGTGTGTTATAAAGGTTGTTAAGTTTAAAGTGACTGTGGAAATTAAGTGTATTACAAAGTATCGCTGAAGTCACTCGGAAAGAATTTTTACCGGAAATTATCAAACAATCAGATACGTAACAAACTGGTGTCAGAGAGTGGGACAGAAAAGAAAAAAAAAAAAGAGATGGAAACCAGAAGTGGCAAATCAAACTACAGCTTAGCAGATTTGATGGCAGC